TTTAAGGGTCAGAAGGAGACTTCCTCTCGGGTTTTCCACCGGAGCCGCTCAAACTATAGTACTCGCTCCCATGTCCGCAGGCTTCTGCATGCATGCGGCGCCCGTGTACATCGCAGAGATCGCGCCGGCGGCGATCCGGGGCACCTTGGTCTCCGGCAAGGAGCGACTTTCACGTGGATTTTTTTTGGGGGGCCAAGAGGCGCCCCGTTTTGTTTGGGGCAGGGAGCACGTGTTTTGGATGGTTGGGTCAAAGAAAACAAAAGGAAAGCCACCTGGAGTCTCCTTCTGACCCTTAAAAAATGGCTGGTCATTACTGTGTTTTGTTCACGTGTTGTTTCTTCATATGGCAAAACGGCCGAATGGCCGTTTGGCTCAAGATTTGGTTCCCCCGTCGGGATTCCTTCGGATTTGCGTGCGCTCGCCATAGTGCGGCGATTGGCCGAGCCATTGCGGAAAAGGTCCGTGGTGTTCCTGCTGATCGGCACTAGGAGGTGGGCGGCAGGTCGCCGAGGTGCTCCCGGGCCCGATCCCTATCTTTACCTTCTTTCAACCTGTTTTCCAACCTCCCCAAACTTGATCTTCATTAACTCTCACTCCCACAATCTGGTCACCAGCACCTTCTACATTGTGCTTTGGGACTGGGTTCTTTTGGTACTTCGTGAACTACGTGTACCTCTTTGATTCCCTGGGCTACTTCGTGTTCGCCCAAAACCGCAGGTTATCAGCCGTACCAGCTACTGGGATAGGGTCGTACTTACGCTGGAGTTATAAGTGACTTAGCACTTAGCTTGGACTTATAAGTAACTTATCTTGAACTTAGAAAAGAGGTTTTTCTAAGTCCGCTAAGTTCATTCTAAGTTCATTGAGTTTGCAAACACATGCGTTTTGAAGCATGGCAGTGATGAAGCAGTACGCGCTGGAAATCACACATTTTCGTGTGACTCAACGCAGCAGGGCAGGCGCGCGCGCATGCAGTTTACGCTGTTTGTTCGCGCTGCTTCGCACGCTTGGCTCGATGGAGCCGGAGCATTTTTTGCACTGATTGACTCGGTTTAATTTTGTTGTGCGATAATCGTTTCTATATAGTGTCTCCGCTGGCGGCCGGTCCGCCTTCATATAGTCGCATGGGGTGGTTTCTCCGCCGGCGGCCGGTCCGCCCATTTTGCTTTTCTCGTTTGATGATATATCATTGTAGCGGTGGTTCCGCTGGCGGCCGGTCCGCCAAGCTTTTTTTGCCACGTTCATTTTCATTTCGAGATGGCACTTGAAGCGGTTGTCCGCTGGCGGCTGGTCCGCCCAGGAATTGTTCGGCGTGATTTTTATTTCGAGATGCCACTTGAAGCGGTGGTCTGATGGCACCTGGCGATTTTTTGCATGTTTGGATTGTGAGTGCGCGGATGAAAGGCTGCAAGACTCAATCAAGGCTCCAGAATCCAGACTGCTGACTGCAAACTCCACACTCCAGACTGCAGACTCCAGACTGCAGACTCCAGACTGCAGACTCCAAACTGCAGACTCCAGACTGCAAACTCCAGACTCCAGACTGCAGACTCCAGACTGCAGACTCCAGGCTGCAGACTTCAGACTGCAGACTCCAGACTGCAGACTCCAAACTGCACACTCCGGACTGCGAACTCCAAACTCCAGACTGCAGACTCCAGACTGCAGACTTCAGACTGCAAACTCCAGACTCCAGACTGCAGACTCCAGACTGCAAACTCCAGGCTCCAGAGTGCAAACTCCAGACTCCAAACTGCAGACTCCAGACTGCAGACTCCAGACTGCAGACTGCAGACTCCAGACTGCAGACTCCACACTGCAAACTCCAGACTCCCGATGCAGACTCCAGACTCCAGACTGCCAACTCCAGAATCAAGACTGCAGACTCCAGGCTCCAGAATGCAAACTCCACAGACAGACTGCAGACTCCAGACTCCAGACTCCAGACTGCAGACTCCAGACTCCAGACTGCAGACTCCAGGCTGCAGACTCCAGACTGCAGACTCCAGACTGCAGACTCCAGACTGCAGACTCCTGACTCCAGAATCCAGACTCCTGACTCCAGAATTCACAGCCCAGACCCCAGAATCCAGCATCCAGACAGCCCCGCCCCAAAGCCCGGAAAGGCCGGTGCAGTTTTTTCGAACTTAACAAAACTTAACTTAACTTAACCTGGGCGGGTCGTGGGGAGCCGTGGAGTCCCTATTGTAACTCAATCAACTTAACTGCCAAACTTTCCCCGTGAGGCCCAGTTGCGTCACCACGACTTAACATAACTTAACTTGGCCCCGTGGCCGAATTCCACCACAAAATGATCAGGATCCTGGAGCCAGGAGTCTTTGTGTCTGGAATCTGGAATCTCGAGTCTGCAGTCTGGATTCTGGAGTTGGCAGTCTGGACTCTGCAGTCTGGAGTCTGCAGTCTGGAGTCTGCAGTCTGGAGTTTGCAGTCTGGAGTCTGGAGTTTGCAGTCTGGAGTCTGCAGTTTGGAGTTGCAGTCTGGAGTCTGCAGTCTGGAGTGTGGAGTTTGCAGTCAGCAGTCTGGATTCTGGAGCCTTGATTGAGTCTTGCAGCCTTTCACCCGCGCACTCACAATCCAAACATGCAAAAAATCGCAAGGTGCCATCAGACCACCGCTTCAAGTGCCATCTCGAAATAAAAATCACGCCGAACAATTCCTGGGCGGACCAGCCGCCAGCGGACAACCGCTTCAAGTGCCATCTCAAAATGAAAATGAACGTGGCAAAAAAAGCTTGGCGGACCGGCCGCCAGCGGAACCACCGCTACAATGATATATCATCAAACGAGAAAAGCAAAATGGGCGGACCGGCCGCCGGCGGAGAAACCACCCCATGCGACTATATGAAGGCGGACCGGCCGCCAGCGGAGACACCGCTATAGAAACGATTATTGGACAACAAAATTAAACCGAGTCAATCAGTGCAAAAAATGCTCCGGCTCCATCGAGCCAAGCGTGCGAAGCAGCGCGAACAAACAGCGTGAACTGCATGCGCGATGGCTCACTGCGCGGTCCTGCCGCGATGGCTCACTGCGCGGTCCTGCCGCGATGGTCGCTGCGCGGTCCTGCCGCAATGGTCGTTGCGCGGTCCTGCCGCGATGGTCGCTGCGCGGTCCTGCCGCGATGGTCGCTGCGCGGTCCTGCCGCGATGGTCGCTGCGCGGTCCTGCCGCGATGGCTCGCTGCGCGGTCCTGCCGCGATGGCTCTCTGCGCGGTCCTGCCGCGATGGTCGCTGCGCGGTCCTGCCGCGATGTGTTTTCCAAACATGGAAGCGGCCCCGCCGCCGCTACGCCGTGTTCCGCCCTGCGCGGTCTAGCCGGAAGCGACCGTACGTCTCGAAAAATGATGCGCGCGCGCGTAGTCCGGTGTCAGGCTTTCTCTCTCGTTCAGCGATGTGGTCCGCAACATGTCAGGGGTAGCGCACGCGTGCTTTTTCGCACGCAGGCAGACACGTAGACTCAGCGAGGTAGACGCGTTTGGGACATTGCTTCGCAAGCGCTGAATGACCGAAGGCTGTTTTCCTCAAAAGGTGCTAAAAAGCTAAGTCCCAGCTAAGTTCATTCTAAGTCCCGGCACCCGGAACTTAGCTCGAACTTATAAGTGGGCCTATCTAAGTTAA